CAATGTTGAATGACTGATCCAGAATCAATGTCCGAGTCCCTCTTCTACTGCAGGTATCACTTAAGGTCCACCATAGCCATGGCCGCCTCTCCCACTCTTCACTCTCATAGGCGGAGGCTATGGCGGACTACTGGGCTCTGCTCAGATGCCCAAAGGACAACCCAGAGCAGCTATGGCTGCTCTAGCTCAGGCCGCCATGCCTGACCCTGCCCGAAGCTTCTTGGTGTACCTCTCCCCAGCTGGGGACTCCCTGCTGCAGCGCCCACCAAGGTGATGAAGATGGCTGCCACCATAGCCAGGTAAGTACCCCTGGCGCTCCTCCCCCTTCCTTCCTTCTTCCTCCTTCTTCCTCCCTCGTGTCCTTCTCCTTCCTCCCCAGCAGCGCTGCTCCAGCTTAGCGCTGCTCCAGCCAGCGCTCCACCAGTGTGTCGCCAAACTTGCACACCGAAAAAGAGGCCGGACTCTCCGCCCGGCCAGAAGATATAGCGGCCTGCTTTGCCTCTTGGGCGGTGACTTCCATGCCCTCGGCCTCCCAAGCAACCGGTACCTCCTCCCTTTCGGAGGGAAACATCATTGCAGACTCTGATATTGCCCGTTACAGGCCCTAGACCCAGACTGGTTGGACTGATATCCGCCTAGACCTACCTACAACTACTGGGCCTCTAAAAAATGCCACTTTCGTCTTCTTCTGCTCGGCCTCCGGTACCTGCACATCTACCCCTTCCAGGTGCGGTACCGGCCTACCCGCTACTTGAGTGTTTTCCCCCGCTGCAACCCCTCAATGTCACGGCCACACGTAAGTACTGGCCCTGAGGGCCCAACGAACGAGCAAGTGCCCTGACGGGCCACACACATACTCATGCCAACCAGCACTCAGACAGGCACGGTCACACACACACCCAGGCCAACCAACACTCAGACAGGCATGGTCATACACACACTCAAGCCATCCAGCACTCAGACAGACGTGCAGTCCAGCACGCATGCACACACAGACTTAGTAGCAAGCGGGAAACTCAGCAGGGCATTCAGTCTATGGGCAAAACTCAGAAATCAGCTGTGTGTTTCAGTCTATGTATGGACGGGTCATCACAAATATATATATATTTACCGGGCAGTTCTGTTTGTGACGATATATATTTGAAATTAGCCTCATTAAGATATATATATATATATAATATATATATAATATAATATATATATATATACAGTTTGTCACAGCCCCTCGTTTGTTGTCCTCTTCTCCCTCTCTGCCTACGGTTTACCGAGCAGTTCTATTTGACGATATATAATATATATATAATATATATAACACTACTAGATACGCAAAGATTCTAGATTTGTTGGGTTTTTTTTTTTCCCCCTCCTCTTAGTTATCTTACGGTCCCTTGCCAGCGAGGCAGGGCGTATCCCATGATGTGCTCACATGCCCTCGAGGGCATAGTCGGAGTGGCACATCCAAGGATGTATCCAGACCAATTTCAGGGCCAAAGCCGTGTGTTTTTTTTTGTCTTCTTTTCTTTTGTAGATTCTGACGAAAGGGCGAGATTTCTGTTTATGTTTTTTTTTTTTTTTTTTTTTTTTGGTTTTTTTTTTTTTCGTCTTGTAGTGGATAGATTCTGTGAGTGTGGCAACAGGGCTGATACGCCCTCATGAAGGGCATGCTCACAGTAGCACTTGGGAGAATGTATCGATGGACAGCTTTAAATTTCCTTTCTTCTTTTTTTTTTTTCCCTGGTCCCTCCAGGGTCGTCCTGTGCTGCTACTGGTACCTCCAGGTTCCACAGACTCGACATACCGCTACCCCGAGGGTCGGCCTCGGCATACCGGTCCCCCGAGGGTCGGCCTGCATAGCTGGGCAAGGTACTGGTGGTTTAAAAAACGCAGTTCGTCAAACTTGGCAGCACAAGCAACAACAGATGCAGCAGTGGCAGCATCATTCGTCTCCACCACAGACACACAGACACACAGACATGCACCAATAGTCTGAGTCGTTCCGGATTGCTTTGTGAGGATTCCCCGGCCTCGATGTTTGGTCTTTAATGGAAGTCCTTGCTTTTTCCTATTAAAAAAAAAAAAAAAAAAAAAGACATGCACCAATATATGTTTACTTCCATTAAACGCATTTCCTCACACTTGGCAGCACAAGCAACAGACGCAGCAGTGGCAGCAGCTTATGATGCTTACAACCAATCTCGCCCAAAAAAAATGCACAGTCAGCCAGGCATACCAATTCCCAACGTCTAACTGCACAGCCCTGTCCCCTACTACCAATGGGGACACACACAACAGACAATGTCATGCACAGACAAAGAAACATTATTTCTTGACCACCTTCTCTTTTCTCATGCAAGTGGGAGCATAAGTAACAGAGGAAGGTAGCAGAAGGGCACTTTTGTCCTCTTTCTTTTTCTTTTTATAAAATAAAACCCCTTTCCTCCCTCCCCTCTTCCCTCCCTCCCCTCGTCTTTTTTTTTTCCCTGTGACTGAGGAAGGTAGCAGAAGTAACAGAGGAAGGTAGCAGAAGGGCAACGACCTTGAGATATCATAATTGAACTGGTCATCTCCTGTGACTGGAATCGAAATCGGGTCTGTATTTCAACAGTTCCTGGGTGTACCAGCTGACCTAGGCTCGTTGGTTCTCTTTCTATTCTCAAGCACCTTCCCTTCTTCTTCAGCACACAAGCAGAAATAACAGAACATCCTGCAGCAGCAGCAGGTGTAACAGCACTACAACTTCTACAAGTTGGTCGCTGCTACCGGTACTCCTGCCAACGGAAAACAGCAAGTGATCTTTAAGTCTGGATCTGCTGGATTGGCATTCCAAGACGAACCGACTCAGGTAGGACAATTAGGCCCTCCCCACACTACTCCCGACTTGGAGAAACAAATTGGGAGCACTCCCGAGTGTCAGAAGACTCAAAAATCCACTCACTGACAGGAGAGTGCTTCGCCATACTCTGCTCCCGAAACCACCACTCCACTCTCGAAATCTAAGATTGGCAGAAGGCGCGTTTGGATGGAAAACGATAGGGATAGTAACTTGTCCTACACGAATTTCCGTTTCAGACTTCAGAGGCCAAGTCCCACTTACCCGGATCCTCCATTCCTGACCGTAGATCATGAAAATCAACGGCCAGACATGGGAGTTCTGGGATCCTCCATTCCTGACCGTGGATCATGAAAATCAACGGCCAGACATGGGAGTTCTCGAGCCCACCGGCCGAGGCCGAGGTCTCCGGAAATCACACTTTTGCAGGCTGGACAAGAAGAGGATTTCGGCGGGAGTGCTCTCCGAAATGCCACATTCTGACAGCAGCTCCCCAAATTGAATACAATCTGACAGGTTGAACGCGGGAGCTTGTGTGGCCACGCTGCACTGAGAGTCTCCCGAAAATGGCCAAGTCGGGAGTAGTGTGGCGAGCCCCTTAGACCCACACCCAGCTTAAATCGTCGATGAAGTCCAAGTTAAGTTAGTTAACTGCTTGGATCCAAAGACGAAAAGCAATTCACAGTACGCAGTATACTTAAACCCAAACCCCACACAGGGACCTTGTCCCACTAGCTCCGTTGAGCTAGTTCAACGTGGGGTGGGGTTTTCGAGCCTGTGTGACTGTACGGCACAAGGGAGATGCTAGTCGTCCAATTCATCTAAAGGTCCGTTTCTAATAAAAACGGCAATAGAGACCATCTTCGCTTTTTCTTACATAAAAAAACAGAAACAAATCCTTTCTCTCGAATACTACTACCCCTACCCTCGCCACTTTCCGTTGAACTAGCTGTCTCCTTTTTTCGAGACAGCTAGTTCAACGACCCTCTTGTTCCCCCAAAAGGCGTTTTTCGAAAGAAACTGAACGAGCCTCCTTCCGCTTGCCATTTTTAGAAGGGATTCGGGCAACTCTTCATTTTCTGCTGTGGAAGCGCCCGTATGCCACTCCAATTGTGAAAAATGAAAAACGAGAACAATTGTATTCCTGCCATTTATAAATGCATTTCTCATTTGAAATTGAATTAAAATGAATTTTTTTAGCTGTCGCACCGTTGAGCTGCCTCAACTAAACGGTGCATATGGGACATGGTCCCAGATCAATGAAAACCCGAATCCGGCACAGGTCGAGGCTTCTTCAAGCATCCTAGCAGTAGTCCGGCTGTTTTCTTTTTCTTTTTTTTCCTTTTTTTTTAAAAAAAAAGAGGCTTCTTCAAGCACACACCAGCTATGTCCTTCGATTCTTTCTCAAGACCCAAAATGAACGCCTTCCCACACAGTTGCACTTTCTGACTCGTTCGTTTTTTTTTTTTTTTTTTTTTTTTTTTTTTTTCCCTTCAGGAACGTCCTCGTAGTTGCCGACCATTGGAGGTGATAAGGTCAGAGCACTCTCCAAGGGAGGAGGGCTCCTCCTCCTGTACTGATGGCTTCAATCGGTTGGTGGGGAGCTGCACTTGCTGGAAGCCGGATCCGGCATCCAGCATTCCAATTGACAAGATCAGAACCCAATATACGCACTGAGAACAGCATTTGATTGACTGTGTGACTCGTTCTTTCTTGATTCAACGCCAAGCGAAAAAAAAAAAAAAAAAAAGCATGCATCCGCATACACCTGTCTCTTATACACATCTAGATGTGTATAA